TCGGGGGGTTCCTTATGATAACTATAGTATAACGGGCCCCAAAGCCCCATTCTAATTATTAAGGCCCTTATAGCACGGCCTTTGCTACCAGGACTCAGGGTTTTGCAGTTAGGGTTTAGGGTTTACGGTTTCAGAAGGCTAAGCCCTAACCCAGAAGGATGTAGCCGTTTGTGTTATCGGGTTTGGGCTCAGGGCTTTGGGTAATATAGGGTTTAGGGTTTAGGGGCCTAAATTACCAATACTATTGTTTGGGGGGCTCCTTATTAAAACCCTAATCTCATTATTGAGGCATGAGAAGGTGCCATCAGGCTCAAAGCAGGGTTGTGGCCCCATGGACGCGTCGGCCACCCGTAACCCGCTGTCATTGGCGTTGGAAAGTCGTAGCTACAGCCTAGGCCTAGGGCCCAGTGCGAAAACAAAGCACGAGTCGACGTGAGAGTCATCATCGATCCTTATCACTTATCGGCATCACCACCGTCACGGGTCATAAATTAGCCTGAAACCCCAATCAAAAGAAGATGCCTCGGAAACCCCAAACCCTAGACTCCCAAACGGTCAGCTCTACTCCTTTCACCCGGCAGCGCGCCAGGACCCGGAGCTGCACCACGGGAAGCCAAAGGTGATGCTTGATAGGAGCTTCAGAACATGAAGTTGTTGAGGGTTTAGGATTGAGGGGCCCCAAAGAGTCACCAAAAATCAGGCTTCTTACTCGGAATATCACACCCCAACTTCGAACCCTAATTCCGAAAAGTCCCCCCCGCAATGTTTGTGGGAGCGGTCCTTCCGACGAGCCTGGCATTTGTACAGCGGGCTTCGGGACAGCGGAGGAGAAACCTACCGAAATGAAGCGGAAGTCGTTACGGTTTAGGGGTTAAGGGCTTCGGGCGGAGAGATTTAGGATTTCCGGTTTTGGCTTATGGACTTAAAACTTATAATTATCAGGATGTATATGGTGTTACGGCTCAGGGAACGCAGATGTCTTGGGCTGCCAGATGAGGCTTTGAGATCATGTTCGTAGGAGCGCGATTCAGCAACGACTGGTTCTGATGGTGTTATGTACGAACGTATACAGGGATGCATGCGTGCATCCATGCATGCCTGTATGTATGTATGTATGTATGTATGTATGGATGGATGGATGGATGGATGGATGGATGGATGTATGCATGTACGGATGGGTCCTACACAGGGTTTGGAACCAGCAGTTTTGCAATCCCAAGAAGACCCCCGGATCCCACAATCTTAAATTGCATCGCAGAATCATATTGAGACCGCCAGTACCTTCGACCTACAATCCTGAACTGGTACGTGGGCCTCCTATTTCTCGTTCCCCCTAACCTGTCTGTTTGCACGGAAGAAACCTGCAGAAACAAACAATCCTACCGTGGTGCCGGAGAGGCCTTAGACGCATATGCCCGAGTAGACATACCTGGTGCAAACGGAGCTCATCATTCACCGGGGTTGCATTTTAGCTGCACTGCACCTCTGTGGGTTGCTGACCCAGGGTATCTTTGTGTGCATGCCCCCCCCCCTTCCCCGTGTCGTAGGACTTTGCATGGGAGTTTCAGACAACTAGTGGTAACAAGGAATCTAATTCATAAATTTGGCCCAAATGTTCAGAACATGCCGTATCCAGGTGTCAAACGTCCGCTAGTACAGGACAGGCAACCCTGTTCAAATGATTGTAACTCTTCTTCTGCCCTAAACCCTAGACTCTACACCCTGTTCAATTATTGCTATTTTTTATTCCTACTGTTCTTGTTAATAAGGTTCGGCACTGATATTACACTGAAATCGGAACCTCCAGTGACAACCAGGCCTACTTACTCACCCCGGTTGTCGGTCTGTTATAGGGTTTAGGGCTTATAGGGCTTATGGTTTAGGGTTTAGGGCTTTCTGGGTATGTACTGTCCACCTGTCTCTGCATGACTGTCTCCTGTCTGTGAGAAGTGAGGTGTAGCTGGCATTGCTTCAGAACTCCACATGGGCTTCTTCCAGTAACTATACTTTTTACCGGGCATCAGAAGGAGCAATAGTCAGACGCTTTCTGATCTGTCAGAAATCAACCTTGGCTAGACATAAACCCTAAACCCTTTAAAGCCCCACTTCACACGCCCCTAAGCCGTAAGCCTTCACACCTTGAACCCTAGACCCAACGCAGTGTAGAACCCTTAAACACAAAGGTAAATCCTTAATTACACGAGCTCTTGTAGAAGCCGCATTATAATTATGATAGAACCCTAATCCCCTAAACCCTAAACCCTAAAATAGAAATCAGCCTATGTAAAGTGCATCGCTTGATCCGCAATTCCTAAACCCTAAACCCTAAACCCCCTAAACCCTAAACCGGTAGCGCAGCCCTCCGACCCACGCGGCGACCATGGAGCCTGTGGAACCAGCCGCCGATGCAGGCCCCACTGCAGTTTAGTAGTCACGGGTTTAGGGTTTAGGGTTCAGGGTTTAGGGTTTAGGGTTTAGGGTTTAGGGTTTAGGGTTTAGGGTTTAGGGGGTCCTTGTCGTGGTCAGCATTCTTATTAGCGCTACTCTTACTCCTGCTGCCACAACTGCCTTTGGTGGTGGTCGTGGTGGTATTAGTTGTGGAAGTACTCAAAGTCGCGGTCATCGTCGTCGCAGCAAAGGTGTAGTAGTAGTAGTAGTAGTAGTAGTAGTAGTAGTAGTAGCAGTAGTAGTAGTAGTAGTAGTAAGTGTCTCGGCCCGAGAATTTTTCATATCTTTCCGGGGCCCTTTGCATGGGAGCGACCGCGACT